GGCAGAGATGAGTAGTCATGACTGAGATTGGCCCTCAAAGTCAAAAGTATTTACCATCTGGCCCTTTACAGGAAAAATTTTCCCTACCCATCATACAGAATATAGATTAAAATATGCTATCATGCAAACCTCCTAAGAATGTGTGGTTTCCCCAGTTTTTAAGCTTATTTTACTTATGAATTCCTATTTATATGTCAGAGGAGTTAGTACTCAATGGTGAAACAAGTGAAGTATCATTTTATTTGTTTTTTCCTTTTTTTTTTTTTTTGAGTTTCCTCTGTACAAGAGACAGAAGAAAGTTGACCATCTATATGCCAGGCACTTTACTTATGCCAGCACCTTTGCTATTTATGATAACCCAATGATTTAAATATTTTACACATGAAGAAAGTGACCTTCAGAAAGGTTAAGTAACTCAGCCAAGATCACACAGCCAGTATGGGATGAAGCCAGGATTTCAATTCAAGTCTGTCTAATTCAAATGCTAAGTTTTTCCCACCATGCTGCCTCCATGCCCTTTGGCATGCTCTTTGAAAGGCCCTCAAAGACTAACTCTAGAAGTTATTAGCCCTTGGAAACATGAACTAAAGCCAATGAGTTACTTTTTGGGGCATTTTGTAGCCTCAGTTCCAATTGTGGAGTAAAAGTCTTGCTCACTTGCAGAAGGGATTTTAGGCATCAAATTGAGTGATGAGAAGGACTTCTTGGGGCTAAGGGATGCTCAGCAGAGCAAGTTTCCCCTCCAGGTCTGACCTGTCCTTATTGGTCTTTGCTGTGTAGTTGCTTGGTGGTAGCCCTGCTTTTTGAAGGCAATGGGAGTGTCCTGGATTCTGGAAGCAGCCTGGGCATGGGGAACACGATCTGTACTGGCTGAGCTGAGCTTCTGGACTGAAGCCAGCCTGGGAGAAGAGGCATCTGATTCGTGATAAGGATGAGGGGCCAAGGGCAGCTGCAGCTGCCCTCAGCTTAATATATGGTCAATCTTCTGATGAAAAGTCTGAGGGTTAAAGGTCAGCTTTGAGTTGACTCTCAATATACCTGCCCTCCTCTTGCTCCCTGGGGAAGGAATTTTTTTCTGTAAGGTTAATTCAGGGTAAACACATTTTAGGGAGAAGCAGAAATGGTAAAGACGTTAAACAATTTTTTTTTTTTTTAAAAGGAAGGAAGCCAGTGATTTATCTGTTACACTCTGGGTTGCAGATCTTGGTAGTACACATGTCTAATTCTTTAAAGGTTTGAAGCTTCTTGGGTTATGAAGGGATGATAAATAATAAATAGTAATTAAATTAAAGATGCGCACACTGGACCCCTCTGAATTCCAGGAATTTTGAAGTTGGACTCACCCTTCATCATAATTAAGACTCCCCACTGAGGATGTGCTGGCTGGTCTGCGGGGAAGGGACTTCATGGAAGCTCCTCCACAGCCTTCTTGAGCTGTCATAGTTTGGCATCCTCTGGTCTAGGAGAAGCAGAGGCAGAGAAAGAGAGCCTCGGGTGGGGCTGAGGCTGCGACTGCTGGGAGAGGAAGGGGAGAGGCTGTGGGGCGAACAGACAGACATTTACGGGAGGAGTTTAGAACTATTGTGTTCTGGGTCCTCTGGGTCCATATTTATCAGATCTCTATCCCCTAACTTGAGAGAAATTTGGAGAATAAAGGATTGTTTATGCAATAGAACTGTGTAGTTCACTGGGCACTGGGGTGTTTACTGGGAAAGTTCAGAAGAGCCAGGGTTGGCTCTACTGGAACAATAAGGGGTCCATGATGGGGGCTGAAAGGGCAGATTCTTCAGTCTCAGGTAGAAACTTTGAGTTACCCATTTACCCAAGGCTGAACCACCAGTGTAATGTTGATACTCAAGCCATGGCCCCAGGCACTATCCACGATAGCACATTGCAGCTCATACTTCAGGCTATGGGGTTTTGAACAACTCAGAAGCATTGGGATAATAACTTCTGGAGGGGGAGGCTGGAGAGATGTGAGGGTTAGTCTTCAAGGAAGCCTCCACGGACAGAGGCCTTGAGAGCATCTGGAAGGGTGTGGGGGAGGGGGAGGGGGACAGAGTCCTGGGAAAGTCTGTGGGCTGAGGGATTGGTGTGTGGGGCTGAGGTGGGCAGGGCTGAGCCTCTGCTGACCTCTGAGTTAAGGAACTCTCTCTCTCTCTCTCTCTCTCTCTCTCTCTCACACACACACAGTCATACCAAAAAAAAAAAAAAAAAAAAAATCCAACACTTTGTGGTCCTGTTTATTCTCAGACAGGGAGTGGACAGCCTTTCGGAGGTGTCCAACTGTGCCGTCCAGCCAGACTGACATCTGTGGGAGTTCAGGGTTTTAAATGTTTAGTCTGTGCGAGCCCCCCAGGCCCCAGCGGGCCCCACTCCTGATAGGCCGGACTTAGCCATCGACCCCCACTCCCTCCTGAGAAAGGGAATCATGTGGGGTTTGTAAGAGGGAAGCTCGGCTCCCCATGAAGTCCAAGGCAGAGGAGTGGTCCTGGGCTGTCATCAGAGTTGTAGAGAACCTCAGCCTGGGGACCTAGATGGGACTGTAGGTCAGAAGTTGCCCCCTCCCCGACCTTCAGCCAGCCGTCATTTTCTCCTCTGCAGGGAAATGGCCAGGGCCAGGCTCTGCGTCTGGTCCGGGCTTCTCTGTTCCCATAGCCCTTCATCCTTACTGCTGTCACTGCCCTGACACACAGGCCTGTAATTATTTGTCTGCATGTCTGTCTCCCCCGCTCCTCCCAGCCCAAGTAGCTCTGTTTCTTCGAAAATTTCTCTTTAAGTCTCAAGTTTCTAGCACAGCGCTTGGCACAGAGCTTTTGTTTAGTTAAAGCTCTTGGAATTGGGCTGCTCTGAACTCAGCTGAACATGCTTGTCAAAAGCCCTGAAGTCCCCTGGGCATGATGGAGTTTGGGGCACACTTAGGGAGAGGGCTCTGCAGACCTCTGAGCTCGCTGTCTGCAGAGTCCTGGGCCACAGTCCCAGAGTAACCAGTGGGCAGGGGCTGCCCTTTGACATGATGTTCAGCTGTAGTTGTCGTCAGCCTGTTTGGTGATAGAAAAGGGACAGCTGGAATCCATGGGGACAAGGAGGGGAGTTGAGGGGATCACTTCTATGCTGCAGCATGTGCTGCGGTTGCTGCTTTTCTAACTGGAAGTTCTGCAGGGGCTGGGATGGGGCACGCCCTGGGAGTGATGTCAGATTGGGTCGAATAATCACCTACTTCTTGCCTGAGTAGCAGCAAGCAAACCACAGTTAAATAAGCCTGGTTTAAAAAATACATTATTCCTGGCTGGGCGCAGTGGCTCACGCCTGTAATCCCAACACTTTGGGAGGCTGAGGCGGGCGGATCATGAGGTCAGGAGATCGAGACCAACCTGGCTAACATAGTGAAACCCTATCTCTACTAAAAATACAAAAAATTAGCCGGGCGTGGTGGCGGGCGCCTGCAGTCCCATCTTCTCAGGAGGCTGAGACAGGAGAATGGCGTGAACCCGGGAGGTGGAGGTTGCAGTGAGCTGAGATCGCGCCACTGCACTCCAGGCTGGGCGACAGAGTGAGACTCCATCTCAAAAAAAAAAAAAAAAAAAAAAGAAAAAAAAACTCAAAAAACCCCAAAAACCAAAAAAGCATTATTCTTGAAAATACGCTTATTAACCAGTTTATGAAACACTTTGTCCCTCAGGGTTCCCAGGGACTAAAGGGTATGAAGATGCGTAAAGTAAAACAAACAAGTTCAGAATGCAAATTATTTACATTGATAAACATAATTTATATTCTACAAATCAATTAGCAGAATACAAGTTGCAAAAAAAAAAAAAAGGGAAAGACACAAACGTATGTATTAAAATTGTGTCTAATGTATTTAGTGAGCTGCTGAATTTAGTGGTAAGCTCCAGGAAAGGTCCTCGACCTCCTGGGGTCTCTCTTTGGCAGCTCCTGCAGTTTAACCAGTTGTTCTCTGGCCATGGAAGCTTGAAGTTTGGAGATTCTGCATCTTTTCATGCCAAGGACAACTCAGGAGATAAGCCCGGCTTCTCAGTTCTTCAGTCTATGTGGTTTGCTCCAATGTTGATCTATCTATCTATCTATCTATCTATCTATCTATCTATCTATCTATCTATTCATCCATCCTCCCATTTAACATTCCTAGAGAGCCTGCTATGTACATTGTACAACACTGACATTGCTAGGGTGATTCCAAATAAATGGGATATCCTTGCTCTGAGAAACTCACCATTTAATTCAGAGGTTCTTAACCTCTGCACTGTTAACATTTTGGGCAGGAGAATTCTTTATTGTGGGGGTCTGTCCTGTGCATTATAGGATTTTTAGCAGCATCCCTGGCCTCTATCCACTAGATGCCAGTATCACCTCCCCCCCCCAGTTGTGACAACCAAAAATGTCTCTAGACATTGCCAAATGTCCTTGGGGGTAGAGGGTGAAATTGCCTCGTTGGAAACTGTTGGTCTAATTGGAGACAGACACAAAGTAACCTAAGTGCTTTAACGGATGCATGCTCAAAGCATTATGGGACTAAGGGCGGGGAGCAAGTGTATGCTTGAGCTGCATCTTGAACAGTGCGTGGAAGTTTGCCAGGCACAGCAGAGGGGAAAGGGCATTTTATGCTGAAGGAACAGTGTGCATGGGTGCGAAAGCATTAAAGAGCATGGCGGGCACGGGCAGAGAGAGCTGGATGTGGCTGGTGTGTAGGCTGAATGATGATAGGAGGAGGAGGAGATGGGAGAAGGAAGGCCAGGAACAGAATGAACAGGACTCTGACGCATTTGGACTTCATCATTTTTCTGACATTGGAACCAATGAGATCTTCACATTTAGTTAAGCCTGGGGTGGGGTGGGGTGGGCTGCTAAGATACCACTCATGCACTAACTAGGCACTCAAATAGAATAAAAGGGAGGTAAGTGACTTCTACCTGGCCTTCCTCTTCTTTGATCATCTCCTCAACCTTTTTTCTTTTTCTTTCTTTCTTTCTTTTTTTAAGATGGAGTCTTTCTCTGCTGCTCAGGCTGGAGTGCACATGACAGACCCCTACAACAAGGAATCCTGCTGCCCAAAATGTCAACAGTGCAACCTCCACTCACTGCAACCTCTGCCTCCTGGGTTCAAGTGATTCTCCTGCCTTAGCCTCCCCAGTAGCTGGGATTACAGGCACCTGAGACGTCGTCATCTCAAATGTGGTTGTTCAGCCTCAAAGCTGAGCAAGTACAGCCTTTAGTGTGGGCAACAGTCTTTAGTGGCTGGTCAATTTTTGTATTTTTAGTAGAGATGGGGTTTCACCATGTTGGCCTGGCGGGTCTCGAACTCTGACTTCAAGTGATCTGTCTGCTTCGGCCTCCCACAGCACTAGGATTACAGACATAAGCCAACACGCCTGGCCCCCCAACCTTAATTAGAAAGTAGAAGTAAAGTGAAATGAATGTAGTTTCTATCTTATTTGTCATGTGTAAACCAAGATTTTTCCTGGGAGCAGAGGAGAGGATGAATTCAGAGTTACTGTGGAAGAGGTGGCCATCTCCTTTCCATACTATAAAGTTGCCACTGGGGAGGAGTTGCCCAGCCAGGGACTCCATTTCTTGGTCCTTTTCTTACATCTGAGCAGAGACACAACAATTCCTCATCAGGGGAATGTGAGTGAAAGTGGAGTGTACCTCTTCCAGGCCAACACTCTTCTATATCCTTTCCGTCTTTCACCAACCCTAGGGAGTGAAGCTTCCGTGCATGGCAGAGCCTCACGACAGAAGGAGCCTGGCCCCTTGAAAGACTGTGTGGAGAGAACTGCTCACAGACTGGAGCACTGCCCAAGATGTTACACGAGTAAGAAATAAACTTCTGTTGTTTAGTCACTGCACCTTAGCCTATGCTAACAATTACAGAGTCTGCCTTTGCTAAGTCAGACCTAAGAGGTCAGACATCTATTTTGTTGCCAGCACTAAAGACTGTGCTTGCTCAGCTTTGAGGCCGAACAATCATATCTGAGATGGTGACGTCTCAGGTGATGTGTGCATATGTGGAGCAGAGCTGCTGGGAGGTGCTGGCTTGATCTGCATTCCCGTAGCTTGCAGTAAGATTCCCAGTTGACAGCTGCCCTCTGCACTTTTACCCTTCCTTCCCACTCACCACCCATCACTTCCCCCACTGTTCCCTCCAACCCACTGTGTCCCATTGATGAGGAAGTTTCCCCATGAAAAGCTGGAGGACCTCTGCCTTGGGATTTCTGCTAAGTCACCAGGTTGAGAACTTGCTGGAACTCCTTGGAAAGTACAAATGCCCATTGCTTCTCTTTTGGTGGTCTGGGCCTTAACACTCCAGGCTATCAGTGTATCATCTGGGCCAATTGACTGCGTCTAAATAGTGGAATTCTTTCTGTGCTCCTGAAAACAAGAGGGCTGCTTGGTGTGTGTGTGTGTGGTGTGTGTGTGTATGTGTGCACACACGTGTGCATGCTGTAGGCCTGATATTAGACACAGACAAGTAAAATGTTATGCTTTTTTTTTTTTTTTTTTTTTTTAAGATGGAGTTTCACTCTTATCCCCCAGGCTGGAGTGCAATGGTGTAATCTTAGCTCACTGCAACCTCTGCCTGCTGGGTTCAAATGATTCTCCTGCCTCAGCCTCCCAAGTTGCTGGAATTACAGGTTCGCGCCACAACGCCTGACTAATTTTTGTAGTTTTAGTAGAGACAGGGTTTCATCATATCAGCCAGGCTGGTCTCGAACTCCTGACCTCAGGTGATCCACCCGCCTCAGTCTCCCAAAGTGCTGGGATTACAGGCGTGGGCCACTGCGTCCAGCCAATGTTATGCATTTAAGTGTGGGGAGCAGAAGACTGGATATGCAAGAGCATACATCTGGATACCTTTTACCTCTTGACTTGTGGGGAAAATGACTCTAGGATTTTACATGGAGCTTCCTGTGTGCATGTTGATGACTGCTGGCAACAAGGTGGCAGGAAGAAAGACATTGCTTTCCAAACTCCTTTTCCCAAATGATCCTTTCTCAGTCTGTCTTACCTGCTTGTGTACTGTTCAACAGAGGAGGGGGAACAGGGAAAAGCAGGGGCAGTTGTGAAAAATAGAAGGGAAACTTGAGTGTACCTTTTTCTTCTCCTTCTCTTTCTCCACCCTCAGTCATCATTAACAGAAAAATATTTTTAAAAGATCCCTTGATGGCATCCCCAAATGTGAAGTCTGACATTTTCTTAGCTGATGGCCTCCTTTGTGAAGGTATTTTGTGTCCTCCCAGCATGCCTGCTGGATCCCTGGTTTGCCGCGGTTGCTAAGGTAAATACTCTTTCCATTAAGCAGCACAGCCCAAGAGTGGCCTAAAGCTCAAATAAATGACCAAGGAGCAAGTTAAACATTCCCTGGGGCGATTTTAACCTATGCAATGGCTTTTTGAAAAAATTGCCTATTTTTTCATGCTTTGGCCAGGGGGGTGTCTCTTATTCCCTTCTTTTTTATTTTCCTTTCAGCTGAGTACACCTTCTCTTTCATTTATTCATGCACTGCATGAAGGATGGAAGCAGGATGAATAAATCACAGAGCACTGCCCCTCTCCCCGCTCAGGGTTTGTGAAGAGAGCTAGAGCAGAATACAGTCCAGGCATTATGTCAACTTTGGGGGGACCTGGGGCAGGTGGCCGATTCTCACAGAGACCCTACTTCCCTTTCCTGTGAAAAATACCACAGCCCAACAGCCACTGGAGAACAGTGTTCTTCTGGAAGCTTCCTCTGGGCAGGAGGAGTCAAAGATCCTGGTCCTCAGGGACACTTGAGACGGGTGTGCCCAAAGCTGTGCACGATGGTTTGGTTTGTTTTGTTTTCCTTTGCCTCAGGAAGAATGTGTTCACAGACCTCAGGACAAATCGTTTAAAAAAGTGTCCTGACAGTTGTCATGCTTCATCACTTGATTTAGAGGCAATAGGACAGCCTTATTTTCTTCTAATCTCTGGCGGTTGAGGAGTCTGGCTGGCTGGCAGAAGGCGGAGATTGGCTGAGGGAGTCATGAGTGAGCAGGGGCCTCTGGTGCCTGCAGCGCCCCTCAGAAAGAACGGGTCTCACCGGAAGACCACACTCATCTCCTTCCTGGTTACCCAGTGTGGGGATTTGTTGCTTTGCTGAGTGTGTTTTGTCTACATTCATGGCGCCCCAGAACCGTGTCTGTGTTTCCCACATTCTCTTTCGTGTCTGCCAGAGCAACATTCTCAGCAAACCATCCGAATGCAACTCCTGTGATCACAAAAGTCAATCATTGATGGAAATGAAGACCAAGACCCTGATTCCTCAGGTCGGCCCTTTTCAAACCACGTTTTCTCAGAGCTCCAGGAACAACAGGAGTTCTAGGGAGAGGTTTTTTTTTTTTTTTTTTTTGAGGCAGAGTCTTGCTGTGTCACTCAGGCTGGAGTACAGTGCCTCAATCTTGGCTCACACTGCAACCTCTGCCTCCCGGGTTCAAGCAATTCTTATGCCTCAGCCTCCTGAGTAGCTGGGACTATAGGTGCACACCACTAGGCCCAGCTATTTTTTTTTTTTTTTTTGTATTTTAGTAGAGATGGGGTTTCACCATGTTGCCCAGGGTGGTCTCGAACTCCTGAGCTCAGGCAATCTGCCTGTCTTGGCCTCCCACAGTGTTAGGATTATAGTTGTGAGCCACCGTGCCCAGCCCCAGGAGCGTTCTTTTTAAAAACATGAATAGATCACGTTAGTCTGCTCATTGCACTTGGGACAACACTGCACCCTGAGAGCGTGACCTGCCAGGCCTGGTGACAGCACCTCTTGGTCTTTGCCTATGGTGGTCTCTGGACCCTTTAGCCTCCTCCACGGTGCCTGCCTCAAAAGCTCTTCCTCCACCGTTCACATGTTTAACACCATGTGTCCTTCAGGTTCCAGCTTGAATGTTTGCCCTCAGAAAGGCCTTCCTTGACCCCCCAGATGAGGTCAGTTTCCCCTAAAGCGCACGAGGCCCACACGAAATTACTTAGTTATTTGGTTAATGTGTCTTCCCCACTAAACTGTAAGAGCCACAGGAGAAGGGGCAAGTCTGTTTCGTTTTCAGATGTAGCTCTAGCTTATGGCATATAGTAGGTGTTCAACAAATATGTATTTAATGAAAGAAGGAATGAGAGCATGGCACCGCCTTTCCGTGCTGGAATGGTGTCTGGACTACTTATTTTTTCATTCCCATTCATCAGATGATCAGTCAGCTGTTTAACAGGGCAGATTCAAATAATTTTGAGAGCACACTTTTTAAAAGGGAGGGAAGATTGGGCCTTTGAAAGCACCTTGTTTAGGCCTTCAAAGAACGTAGACTTTTTTTTTTTTAGATGGAGTCTTGCTGCAACCTCTGCCTCCTGGGTTCAAGCAATTCTTGGCCTCAGCCTCCCGAGCAGCTGGGATTACAGATGCCCGCCACTATGCCCGGCTGATTTTTGTGTTTTTAGTAGAGACTGGGTTTCACCATCTTGGCCAGGCTAGTCTTGAACTCCTGACCTCGTGATCCACCCACCTCGGCCTCCCAAAGTGCTGGGATTACAGGTGTGAGCCGCGGCGCCCGGCCTAAGAATGTAGTCTTTATTTCCCTTCCTGATGTGGGAAATCTGAGCTTCTGATATGTGTGTACCGGGTCTGGATCCTGGATTCTTAGGAGTGACCCGGATGTTCTGGAGGCTGTCCAGGGCCTGGGAGCAGAGACCTCACTGCCCGTTGCTGAGGCCTGACCTCTTTGTTCAAGCAACCTCTTTGCCAAACCACCTCAGGCTACAGCACCAGGCTCCGAGAAAACCTTAGATCAAGATATTAAGAGAATAGTTCTGATACCTACCTCCCTTTCCTTTGGAAAAAGCCCAACTTTATGGCCCTTTTAGGAAATATGGGAGGGGAAGGCCCATAATGTAACTCGGGCAGGAGTAGGGGGTGGGGGGCGGAGAGATGGAGGAGAATTCTTAGGGTTTTGGTTCTTGACTCTAAGTCAGTCTGTTTTTGTACTTGTGTCTTTTAAGCTTTTCCACATGTGCCCCAAGGGCCCGTCGGTGAGTGTGTTTTATAAACTGGAAAAATGAATAAAAATAAGACCCAGAAGGCAAACACCAGAAGGAGTGTGAAGGGAAAAGTGTTAGTTCCTCTGTACCTCCCAACTAGGCCTGACCTGCATTTGTGGGGGTCCCAGGGTCAGGCTTATTTGGCTTTGTGGGTAAAATGTGGAGTCTTTGCTCGGAGAAAGCCTGATCAGTTTTTGTACTTGGCCTGCTCCACTCAGCATTAATTAACTTCAGGAAAGTAAAAGGTGATTCTTTTTTATTTGGCTATCTGGCTCCACAAACCTTGTTGGCTTCCTGTCCCATAGGTGCCGGATTGATGGGACCTCAAATGTGTAAAGTCTTGCACAGGAAATCCCCCAGCATGGCCATTCAGAGGCTCTCAACTCCTGCTGGACCCAAACACAAGAAACTAGGAGGCCCAGACCCCGTCTCTCATTTTGCACCTCAGGAAACAGTACCTGAAAGAGAACTCCATTTTCTTTTCTTAACGTTCTTCAGCTAAAACAAGAGGGTGTAGGGAAGGGGCTATTTGGAAAAGAAATTCTCTAAATTGCCTGTAAAACTGAGCACAACCCAAGAACCAAATATTTTGAAACAAGCATATTTAGGAAGTTTGAGGACGCTTTAAAATATCTCCAGAAGGTTTGTGTTTACCCCAGCACAATGTCTGTCTTGTGACCCAAAGCTTTATCTTCCAAACCTTATTTGAGCAACTTCATCAATAAAAACATTTTAGAGAATGCACATCTAACACATATATACTTATTATAACTTTCATACACATACTTTTGTACTAATATGTTTTGTATTTTTAAAAAATATATCTAAACACAAATTTAAAAATGGATACAGATGAAATAAATCTTTAAAAATAGGGCTGGGTGTGGTGGCTCATGCCTGTAATCCCACCACTTTGGGAGGCCAAGGTGGGTGGATCACCTGAGGTCAGAAGTTCAAGACCAGCCTGGTCAACATAGTGAAAACTCGTCTCTACTAAATATACAAAAAATTAGCTGGGTATGGTGGTGGGCACCTATAATCCCAGCTACTCGGGAGGCTGAGGCAGGAGAATTGCTTGAACCCAGGAGGCAGACTTTACAGTGAACCAAGATCGTGCCATTGCACACCAGCCTGGGCAACAAGAGCAAAAGTTTGTCTCAAAAAAAAAAAAAAAAAAAAGATTTTATCTATTAACTATCTGAAACCCTTTTTGTTCTCATTAAAATAAATTAATCAAATTTCTAGTGAGAGCAATGGGATTAGATAGGCATGATTATTTTTAAAAATCTTGGTATAATACTTTGTGGCACAGTGAGTCAAAAGCCTGGCTCTGATTTTCAATACTTGGGTGATTATAGCTGAGAAAGATATGTAAGACATATAAATCTAAACAGAGGAAGGGAACTGGACTCTCATTTCTGAATTCTGGCCACTGTGAAGGCACAGGTTTTCATCTGTCACTATGTGCTAAAAGCAACCCAGCAAGTGAGGGTGTCACTGTCAACTGCTCCTTGTCGTGAGATTCCCATCTTTCCCTCGAGACATCTCAGATACCACATGTGACCTTGACCCTGTGTCCCACAGCAGTGGTCACTGAGTGTAAAGCCTTTTCCTTGAGGATTGTGGTAGACAGAATGCCCCCCAAAGGTGACTATGCTTGAATCCCTGGAAACTGAACATGTCACCTTCTATGGCAAAAGGGACTTTGCAGACGTGATTCAGGTTAAAGACCTTAAATTAGAGGGAGTACCCTGCACTATCCAGGTGTCTAATCTAATCCCATGAGACTTCAAATGCAGAGAACTTTCTCTGGCTGGAGTCAAAGAGCTGTGACAAAAGAGGTTGTCGGAGAGATTTGAAGTGTGAGAAAGACCCGACCTACTGTTTCTGGGGAGCCCACCTGGAAAGCATGAGAAGTGACACAGGCAACCTTTGGGAACAAAGACTGCCAGCCACAAGGAAAAGACAACAGTCCTCCAGCCACAAGAAACCGAATTCAGCCAGCAACCTGGACAAGCTAGAAGAACATTCTTCCCCAGAACCTTTAGGAGGAAGTGGGCCTTGCAGATACCCTGATTTTGTCTTTTGAGACACTAAACAGAGGATCCCACTAAGTTCAACTGGCCTATAGAAACTGATATATGTTTGGACTGTTTTAAGCTGCTACATTTGTGGTAATTTATTCTGGTGGCAACAGAAAATGAAAGTAATTATATATTAGAAAAACTGAAGGTAGAAGCTCTAATTCTTTCTCCCCACACTCCAGTGGTTCATCATGTGCCGCATTCGGGGTGTGGAAATTCCATTTTGAAGACACCATCATCCAGGATTCTAGCCCCAACCTGGGAAAGGTCCTGGAGAGAACTTTTAGCATGTATTTCTGAGCCATTCACACTTAACCCAGAGAGAGAAGGTGTCCTGCCCAAACGCAAAGCAGCAAGGCGGTAGTTCTGGACATAACCTTAACAATTGCCACCAACTCTCTGGATGTCCATCCGTCAGCCCTATCTAGTCTTTCTGTCTGCATGGCAATGCGGGAGATATGGCGATGAGGGCCAGGATCGCAGAAGTCAGAGTATCCATGGCTGGAGCTTCCATTTTAAATGAAATATTCTTGCTTATGGCTTCACGGTATCCTTTCAGATTTTGCATCTGGCTGTACTCCAGATGTTTATGTAGAAAATTCACAGTAGACATGATGGTGGCACAGGTCTGCAGGAAGGATCCTTTCCTACTTACAGAGTGACCCAACGTGGCCGATCCCTTCAATATTTACAACAGCTGGGTGAGTGGAGGCATGATCAACTCCATTTACCCATCAAATAAATGAAATTTCAGAGTGGTTACACAATCTGCTTGAGGTAACGAGGCCAGCAAGCCACAGAGCCAACATACCAGGGTGCCTGGTTCCACAGGAGTCTGGGAAGAGGGCGAGGGAGATGGGCACAGGATGTATCACCAGGATACTGGGGGAAGAGAGAATGTTGATGTGTGGGGCAGCCTGCATTCTCAAATCAGGAGCACTGGGTGCTGCTGCGTTACAGTGAGTGCAGGAGCCTGCCGTTCCGGGCCTCACTCTGCCCAAATATGTCTTGCTCATTTTCACTGCCATATGTCTGCTCGTCCCAGTCTGTTTAAGGTTCCCTCCTGTTCCCTCTCTGCCTCTAAGTCCTTCAAAAAGCCAACTGGAAGTGCCTCTTCCAGGCTTTCCTTAGCCTTTCTTTATTCTGTTGAACTTCTATTATGTTAATTGTTCAAAAGATTAGTTCTGGCACTTACCCTATGCTGCTTTGTATTACTATTGGAAAACAACAGTGGCCCTCTCAACCACATCGGGTGGATGGTACATGCCATGCTTTATACATTCCTGTGGCCCTGCTGTACCTGGCACACACAAAAAGGGATTAATAAATATGTATATGCTGAATGAAAGAATGGAGAGATGCTGTTGATTTTCTTTGTTCTTTCTTTTTCTCTGATTTCATGTCAAACATAGTTTTCTCCCTTAATAGCAATCATTGTTTGTTTTATGTGTACAGTGGGAAATGTGAGCCTCCACAGTCTCAGCTGGATGAATAATAGTATATCCACTTCTCCTAAGTCACAAATGTTAAACTGGTTTAAAGGTACGATGTAAAAAAGTAAAGCTCTATTAGGCTTGGCTTGGCCTTGGAAGAACCACAACACCAACATACCAGTTTCATGGTATGTGTGATTTCAGGCTCTGATCCCAAGGTTCCACCACACAGGACCAGCTGAGTTAACATCCTCAGTGGGTAGCCCTGGCCATCCTAGGTTGGCCTTTCCTGTGCTCCCACTAACCAGCAAGCCAAGCCCCATGCCCCCTGCCTGGCATTCAATGCCTGCCAAAGGAACTTTGCAAATACTCCAGCCAACTTGGTCTCCTGGATTTCCTTGCACATGGCATGTTCATGTTGACCTCGGAGCCCACTTAGGTCAGTGCCTTCATCAGAAGCATTTGTTTTCCATCCACCCCTCCCAACTTCAAGCCCTATGTTGCTTTTTAAAAAAACCATTATTGGAGACTTTGATCTGAGTTTTCCTCTCCCTGATCACTCACAGGTCCCATTGTTTGTCCCACACTTTTTTTTCCATGATGGCCTTTTAAAATTTTTATTATTTATTTAGTTTTTAAATTTTACTTTAATTTCTGGGATACATGTGCAGACGGTGCAGGTTTTTTATGTTGGTATACATGTGCCATGGTGGTTTGCTGCACCTATCAAACCATCATCTAGTTTTTAAGCCCCGCGTGCATTATGTATTTGTCCTAATGCTCTCCCTCCCCTTGCCTCCAACCCCTCTGTCTTTTTGCATTAAGTGAAAAAGTGTGTATTAAGCACTTATATATGCTCATTCCTCTGTCCAGTGCTTGAGGGGGCTCCAGAGGAACAGGAGTTGCCAGTGATTGATCCACAAGGTGCTGGGTGTGAGTCTTTTCCTTCCTGGCTTTATGTGACCAGCAAACACCCTGTGATCATGGAATTCTACTAGGAAGGGCAATCCTACAGCAGCGTTGGTGCACATGCACAAGGAGACATGAAGAAGGTGCTTCTTGCAGCATTGTTTGTAAAACTATAGAACAACTTGAATGTCCACTGAGAGGAGTAGGGATAAATGAGTTGTAGTGAATTCATACAGTAAAATCCTATAAATAATCCTACATATAAGTTGTGGTAAAGTCATATAGTGAGTTCCTATATAGCAGTTAAGATGAATCAACCGAAGTTACATGTAATAACTCACATAAATCTCAGCAAATATGATGTTGAAAAAGAGTGATCAGCTGTAGAAGCAAAAGTACCATATAATACCATTTATATGAAATTTTAAGACTCACTAAACAATACTCTCTATGGATAAACACATACGGAGTTGCAGTATTAAAATATGCATGGGAATGATATATACCAAGGTTGGCAAATTATGCCCATGGCCAAGTCCAGCTCACCACCTGCTTTTGTGTGGCTTGTGAGCTGAGAATGGGTTTTACAATTTTAAATAGTTGAAAAAAAATCAAAAGAAGGACACTCTTTTGTGACACCTGAAAATTATATGAAATTCAAATTCCAGTGTGCATAAATAAAATTTGCTGGAACACCACCACACCTGGTCTTTTTCTTATCAACTATGGCTGCCTTTGTACTCCAAGGACAGGGTTGAATACTTGCCACAGACCGTGTGGCCTGCAAAGTTGCAACTACTTACCATCTGGCCCTTTTCAGAAAGTTTTCCAAGTCTTGATCTATATCAAACTTGGGGGAATGGTTGCCTCTGGTAAGGAAAGGAGAGAAATGGAACTGGGGCGGGAGTGCATCAGTTACAACATTTTATCTCTTAAGCTGCTGGTGGGTTATATATTAATACTTACATTTTGGATGTCTAAAGTATTTTGTAGTTTCAAAAAAAAGTGAAGACAAACTTCCCATCTCCTAAAAAACCCTTAGTAGGTATTATTATGGTTCCCAGTTCACCGTTAGGTACTCTTATAACCTACAGTAGGTATTATTATAACCTAGCCCAGCCCAGGTTGCCAAAGTTCTATCTCCCTCTCCCTCTCTCACTTTCCACGAGGCAGGCAGCCCCAGGCGCACAGGTCGGCAGCTGAGATGAGAAGACATGGCCTTTTTCAATGACATCAGCAGACTGTGCCAGGGAGGATCTGGCTAACTGGATTTGGATCACTGGCCCCTTCCTGCCAGCAGCCCTTCCTCAGATGAGAAAGTTCATGGATGAGGAAGCAAACTTAGAGGGTGCATGGATAGTGAATGCTGGAAGAGGATTAACCTCAAGACCTTCCATCCCAGCACTTCTGGAGCACTGGCCTGCGCTGCTCACCAGGACTCTGC